TATGTGATTTTGATTTCAGTGCCCTTCGAGACAGAGAGCCAGTGGTACGGCATAGCATGTACATGGAGTATTTCATGAGGTTTATGACTGAAAAGAAATAAATAATAGTGATGGATAGAAGTAACTCTATATGGAATATAAAATTTCATATTTCTCATTAAAACTCGGGAAATTGTACACTTGAACAAATTAGTATTAATGGTATTTATACATTTTTTACTTAATGAAATATTAATAAATTTCCCAGTTTAATCATTAATGGTTTGATAAATCCCTGAAAGTGCATTTAGAAGTCATTTACAATCCGTACTAAAAACTTAAATAGCTTTAGACAACCGTTGATTCTAAATGTGAATGAGGAGCGTTGGAGGATATACAGGATTAGAAACTGTTATCAAGAGATCAAATAACCTACGATGATAAGTATCCCTTTCTATTAATGCTATACTCTGGAGAAATGAAGCTAATCCTTTCTTCTAATACTTGTATTAGAGAACAGTTGATTCTACATCTGATTGTTGGACATGCAGTCGATCCAAGGATTAAGAAAGTGATCTTGAGATCGACTCCAATAACATACGATGATAAATGTCTCTTTAACTAATATACTCTGGTTGAATGAGCTTTTTGTTCGCGAATACAAACAAAGAACGCTCATCTTTTCCTCGGTCGAGTTACTTGACCTTGTCAGTCGTTCTCATCTTGTTGACTTTAACTTCTGAATTGCGATTTGGATAGTACATGTTTCATGAGCTTGAGATTAGTATGACATCTTCAGTGATAGATCGAAACATCTGTCACTATACCAGTCTCTGATAACTATTTGGACAGATTTCGGCTAGTGTTGATCTGTCAAAATATCCACCAGAGACTGGAAAAAAGAGGCAGATGTTTCGGACAACTTCAGTGACTGATCTTCCCGAACTGATATTACTGATCATATCTCTAATACTATCTTTTTTTTTATTCTATATTACCATATATTTGATAAACAGACGATCTTATCTTACCAAGGATCGTGAAAGTATTTAGTATTTATGGAAGTTAACATGCTAGTTTCCTACAAAGGTATTGGCGTTCAGCATATCGGTATTTATGTATTCGTGACATCGTGAAGCATACAATGGTGAAAAGAGGAGAGTAATAGAGCAGAATAAATTGATCTGTTAAAAAACAATTTAAGCGTTTGAATTTGATGACTTGTCCGCTCGACATCAGAATGAAAAAGATTAGATAAGGGCATTAGAGTATAAAAAAAAAGTTTAAATGTTAAATATTGTGAAAAAAAAAACAGTTGCGCCAAGAGTGAATTCCCGAATCTCTAGTTTCGTTAATCACAACAGAGAAATATCCCTGGTGATGTTAAACTGACATTCAAACAAAATGAAATGAAATTTCTCAATCCTCCGAAGATCATTCTATTTGGTTGAATGCACAAAATAATGGCAAAAATATCCACTTAAACTTTGAATATGTATGAATACCATTTAAACATTAAATGAAATCTCAATGATCTTAATATAAACGAGTTGTATTTCTGATATTTGATAGCAATTAAATTGTTGCAATATTTCTCCCAAATGTTAATATATTGTGTAAACAAGGAAATTAATGAAAACAACTTTAAATTCCCAGGCGTCGAACTTAAACAAGGATTTATTGTCCTGACCAAAATATGCTCGTCTCTAAGTCAGTACCGGCCAGTCAGCTCGACAATACTCTATTAAATGCAAACTGCATTTACCCATTAAGGATAACAAAAACACTCTATTTCATTTGGCAGAAAAGCATCTTTATGGCAAAGAGAAATTATGAAGTAGAATCCATATTCAGATGACAGGTCCTGCATTTGTAAGTTTTCAATATGTTTCCTCTGAACATTCGTATACGTCTTGCAAACATTGAGTAATTTTAAAGAATAGAATCAGCTGAGAAGTTATCTGAACAGGTTATACAATCAGTTGATGGCAAAGAATGGAAAACATGCAAAATCAGGTGGATAGAAAGACAGAAATTGCTCCACTGTATCCGTGACTGTTGTTGCCTCAGTCCATGCAATATTCTTTCTGCTGTTGTCGATAGAAGATAGATTGTAGATAGAAGCTTACCGACAAGTGCTATGTAATTGTTAGTAGGATATTAACACATCAAATCGGTATGGACAGTCTAAAAATAAGTCCTTATGTAATGCTTATGTGTACTGAAACCTAGTATAATTATAACGACTATCAAACCAAAGAAATGGATATGGGATCCGTGTCCACTGCGCGGTGCCGTCCCGATTCTATACAGATTTACCATGATAGGATCAAAAGTATTTGCATCATCGTATATAAATAAACAGAAAGCTGATAAAATCACTGAAAACGTCCTCTGTATCGAATTCAAACTGGGTATTAGTGCTCAAAATGGCATTATTTGGAATGCGTAAATAAATACATGAAGTACTAGCCATCCGAATCGCAAAAAGAAACACGAAATCCAAAACAACACTTTGGCAATACATTGTTAGTATCTACTGAACTTATTTCATAATGAAAAAATTGTATCAGGTGTCTAGAAGACTTGAAGAGTAAGCATACCCTACCTGGCGCCATACCTGCTCAACATATAATCAATCAATATCAGTACTATCTAGGAATTGATATTACAATTAACATACAAATAATCGATATAAGTATCACATGTACTGTTAATCTCATTCTCTGATCGTAAATAATCAAACATAGACTTGCTGCTGGAATGTTAATAATTTAATGACAAAACAATTAACATTTGAATCTTACATATATTTTGATTTAGGACACTTTGGAGTTTATTATCAAATGGAACAGTGCTTTTTATAATATAAGAAATAAGGGTTTATTTAACAGGAAAACAAATTATCATATTATCAAGAAATACAAATTATGACAAACTCAATGGTAACTATGAAATTAACAAGTAAAAGAGCATCGTTTTAAAAAAAAATCATTATCACGTAAGGGTCTTAAGAAGTGAAAATTGTTGATAATAGTTATTTATCAATGAATCTAAAATAAACTCAAATGGGGAGTATATATCAGCTAACAAATGTCATGTCTCTCTTTGTGCCAAGATTACATTAATTTCTGCTCATGTTTTTCCATTATGCCTATAGAAAGGGTAATAATTACTTTATAAATTTCATTTGCTTATAACGTCTTAAAAAGCAGTCATAATATATTGATGAACAAAATACAAAAATCAGACCGTTTTATCTTTAATCTTTAACCTCGTTGTACTTAAACTATTACAGAAATAGTAAGAAACTATCAACTTGGCGCTCCCACTTAAAGTATTTTATGTGCAATAAAATTCGAGCGCCGAGTGGTTAGTTTCTGACTATTTTATGTGCAACATATTTAATCTGCAATATTTTTGCTCGTAATGTTTCATACGTTTTATTTGTCTTATAAATGCTAACATGCTAAAGAACTCAATGTGAAAAAACGAGTGTATTTTGTATTTATGTACACGTCGTTCACAAGGTGTGGAAACATTTGTATTTTTTAAAAGATTTACTAGGAAACTTTGTAACACACTGTTACTGACGCATGTTCTTTAATAATTGTCTTACTTATCTATAACTGCTATTGAAGGATTATGTTCTTTACAGAAATTTTTCTTAAAAAATGTAGCAAAATGTTTTATTGACATTCTTCAAACGAAACAACAGTATACTGTGACATGGCACTAGTATGAGATAACCGCCCTCAGTTCACCATTCTATCACGCCATGATCAAAGAAGATGGAGAAGACAAAATAAATAATTAAAATAATGAATTTAAACATGGAAATTGATTTTTCTAAAATTTAAAAAGAACTTTATGAACAAGTAAGAAATCTTTTCATCAAGTCTTTTGTTTTAAATAGTGTTTTTTAATGTCTTGTGATGTGAATAGACAAGGAACTGTTTCGCGATCCATTTTACAGTGCGGGAATATCGATATCCATTCGAACCTTCAGAACATACAAGCCCATCTCTGTTTATGCATTTCGTGATATTCAAAATTTGAACGGGTGTATTTATTTTGACTCTCTAAATCCAAAGTTATTTTCTTTCTTGTAGTGCTGATACTTTTTATAATTATGTGAATTAAAAATAAATGATTTGAGCTGAATTAAGAAGCGGACAACACATATAACAAATAATACAAGGGAAGTGTGTAATACCATAATATATTCACTTGTGTTTTTGTTATATGTATATAAAATATGTACATCACAGTTTATGTGTCATGTTAAATGTCGAAATTGTGAAAAACAAAAATGATTTTAACATATTTTCTTGCCTTTTCGTATAGTGTAGTACCTAATGGCAAAAATTGCTCTATTCTTGTGACTAAAATTTGTACTAACGTTTCGATCTTGTGTCCTTTTACATTATAAAAAGCACTGTTCCTTAAATATGAATAAAAGAAAACATACATTATAAGGCAACAATATTTGACTCGTCACCTCTAGTTTTACGTCGACAACATTTTGAGCGAAATATGTTTAACACCGCTCTTTGAAATCCTTTTAGAATACAAATATACAGAATAAATTTATACACAAAGTTAAGTTTGACCACCTCGGCGAATATAGGTAGTAGCATTATATAAAGTTTAGGTGGTGGTCCACTGTAGAACGTCATTCTCATTCTGATTATCATTGAAGGGATGGATAATAGAAGATACAGAATTCCTGCAATCACACACACAGTTGTCGCCCTTACCCGGTTCTCCACAAAATTAGGCAAATCGTTCAGGTTCCGTAAACGACCGTTTTGGGAAGCTGTAATAGGTCCTTTATGGAAGTCACTATGTTGCCGGCGCCGAAAACGCGAAGACATTCCATAAATGAGACAAATATCCATACAAAATATCATTAACATTGGAATAAGGACTGAAAAAACGATGTCTACTTTGTTTAAATTGCTCAGATATTTTAAACTTTCAGGCATCGGACGACACCGATTTTGGATGACCATATGTGTCCACAATATGTATAGATTGGCCACCATCGAGAAGATGGCCACCACAATGATAATACACTTTGTCCGGAATAAGCTACACCATGTTTTCCGTCGTCCGCTTGCAAAATTAATTAAGCAACGTTCAATATGAGCAAACACTAAAAACCACGTGGATAAAAAGTTTGCCAAAAACCACGTGTATGTTGTTAACTGACAGATACCAGTTTTGTTAAAGAAATCATACCAATGATCAGATATCCAGATAATAGCCGAAGACAATAAATAAGCTAAGTCTGATATGGACATGGCCAGTATGTACTGACTGAAAGAAACACGTTTGAGTTTGGTGGCAATCAAGGCTAAAAGTATGATAACATTACCTGCTATACCGATACTCATAAACACAGGCATTCCATATTCTGTAAATTTCTGTATAGATGTCATTTTTCGCACTCCTGTATGAAATGTCCTTCTTCGTCCCACCGAAACATTAGATGTGTCATTGAGCGCTTGGAAGTAGAATGTGCTCTCAATCGCTGAGAGCGTTGTGTTAATCGAATCCATTTCGAAAGTTGATTAACTGCACAACGTTGCGAAACAAATCTCTAGGACAAATTTTATATGTAAATAAAAACAGTTAAGAACTTAACTCAAGGAGGCTTATCACAAATGTAAATGGAACTTCCAAGTATCGAACACTTGAATGTTCTCAAGTCCTTCAATAAGTAGCTGAATCACTATCTATTCCTGAAACACTTTAGCTAATGCAGCATAAAGTACTACTTTAATATCTTTTCCACATTAAATATCACATTAATATGTCTTCAAGATCTCTTCTCATCAAGTGATATTAATATATTGGCACCTTGTCCAATTGCTTCAGTAATTCCATGAGATTTATCGTTGAATTGGCAGCAATTCCAATTCCAAACAAAAATACAACAGGTTTGAGTTTAAAAATGTTCCGTTAAAAAATAGAAACTGAAAACCTACCAGTTCTGTAAATTCCCCTTTCAATTAATGTAACAAGGTCTTATCTCTGGTGACGAAAGTTTAAACGGCCAGAGACTCTCAATTTTGATAACCTTTTCAGAACACGTTCATAACAATGTTGGCACTAATATTTTCAATTCCTGTAATGAACGATATAAAATTTTCTCCACAAAACCAATGAATTCTCGATTAACATTTACAGTTTTTATATCATTCCGTATGACATTTCTCAAATAGCAGTTATAATCGACAGTAAATTAAATTCAAGTCGTCACTGAAACTCTCTTCTACTTTAATTTAAAATTGGAGTCAATCTAAATCAATCACAATCTTTAACTTGAATTACAGAAAACTAAAACCGCATTTGCTAAAACAAGAAGATTACCTTGTATCGCTGAAAGACAAGAAGTTAATGCTCCTTTTTTTAAATTCAAATTGATTATTCACTATCTGTATCCTTTTGAGAAATTCACTTGCTTAACTTTAATCGGCTATATGTGACACACTGAAAAGACGAAAGCTCTTTTCTCAAACTGTACGAATGTTATCATATCATAGCAGAATGAAAATAAAACATACGGCCATTCGAATTCCTATTTCATTTAAATTATAAATTGCCACAGTGTTATGCGAATCGATTTGATTAACAGGAAGCGAAAAAGTGTCAAAATCAGTTGCATCAACCTTAACGATCTGTCATTTTCTTGAAGTTACTTCTGATCTGCACTCTGACAAATACGACAATAACTTGTAAACAGTATGTTATAAACGTGTCATATATTAGTATTTGTATAAAGATGACAAATAAAGAACACAATAGAAAGTTTCTAAACACTCTATAATGATAATTATCCGTGGTATATTCTTATTATTCCAATGTCATGATTTTCGATAATGATTACTTTTTTATCATCACGCAGTGTAGTTAGTGACTTTTAACGATATCTTTCAAGCTTCTAAATTATACTATGATAACGACTGATAATATCGTTGGTATTAATTCGATATCTTTTATCAATCATTGACATCAACATTATCGTTTCCATCTTTTTAAAAGTTGTTCACACATCTTACTCAGGCTAAATCGAATCTGTCCAGTGAATGTTAAATAGTTAAACACACTTGGTATTATGAAATACACACAAGCAAACTGTTAATAACTAACAATTTATATCGTCCACTGTTGCTATCCAAACTGAAAGTTTATGTCAGTCATTTTGTGTGATTAATCTATAGAAAGCTCTGTTGCAATCTAACTCAGACGGCTTACCTACACGGCTATTAAAGCACTAGTCTCGAACATAACAGCCACATATTGTTAAAAGTTATAGTCTAGATTATCAAGAATCCTAAGTCAATGACAGCATTCCTGACAGTTTCTCGCGCGCTCGTTCATTGGCTTAAACCTCGCAGTAGGCTGTGTTAAATCAGCAGTGGGGAATTCCTAACACAGACTTCAAAAGCCAATCTGAAACATATCAGACATAACATTGTTCTTCTATATTGTTAAGGTAGTAGATTTTATTCGAAAGATGACTGCACATGGACATGAAGACCACAGACAGCGAACATGCGTCCAATAATTCAGTTATATATTCATTATCCAATGGAGAGTTCGTCTCGCCGAAAATTACCTATTGATATGACACGCAAATTTGTGTGATCCATCCAGTAAAGAAAAAGTCTTGATGCTAGAATTGGTTACAGAACATCATGAGCCGATTGAATGGAATAACGAAATGTAGGTATTATTGCTAGGCATTGATCCTTACTGTGGCGAGTGAGGGTCAAAACGGCTAAGTGATCGACGCATATAGAAATTTCAAGGAAATTGAAATGAAGTACGTGCAGCATAGTGTCACATCGATTTCCACTCGCTCGGCAAAACCGACATTACATGTCCAATCCAGCGTACTTTGTGGTGGTGCAATATTTGGCATTAACTGCTGTGGGAAGTCGTCTGCGGCAAGTGCGTTGTGACCCATACACGCTAGCGTGCTAATCTGAGGATCCATGGCATTATTTATGTAGAGCAAAGTCTGTGAAATTGCTGCCAATAGCAGCATAAACTCGCCAATAATAAGCTGCCAATAGCTTCATAAACTCGCCTAAAACAGAGAATGACATAAACCTTCAGTACACAGTGTCATCCCTCTGATATCTGGTGTCTCTTATATTAAAAATACAGCACCCGATTAAATTCCAGATAGATATCGATCTAGCAATGTTCCTGATTAAGAATAAAAGTGTTATAAATGGCGTGAAGATTGTGGCAAATAAGAAATCATAGGTCGTAAACTTTCTTTGAAGAACAGATCTCTACACTTTGAGGTTTCTGCCTCAGGTTACATTTATTTCATGAAATTGTAAGATATTACATTGTTACGAATGATTCTGTGTTTTTTCATGGCCTGGGGTGGACAGACTTGAATAAAATCTTCTTTGAACTTTTGTGAATGATTGAAAAACTTCAGTTGTTATCTGTATCTAATAAATCAGCTGGAATAGTTGTTTATCATGACATTGTTGCTGATCTGAAGCCGGGTCCATAGGGTGGAAGGGTGGTGAGGATGCAGGACTGTCTTTGTTGGGGGAATAAGGATGCAGGACAGCACCTGATTGGAGTTAGGGGTGGAGGGTGGAGGGGTCATGTTGCATGGCAGCATCTTCTTTTTAAAAAAATAAATATTGACCAATGACGTTATAAACCTCTTATAAAAATCACACGATACAGACAGGAGTTATTTAATGATATAGATATATCTTAATCGAAGAGAGTGAAACATTTTAGAACTAATTACGGGTCTGTCTAAATATATCGATTGTCAATTCAATGATATCATAATATCGTTACCCTGTTACTCTTAGAGATTTGACTATCTTAAAGTGGGCCCAGGCGTCTGCAAGGAGAAACCTTGCCTCACGGACATCACACGCTAATATAGTTTGGTATTTGACCTCATATTTTAATAATGACTGAAGATTACCAACTCCACCCAATTTGAAACACCTCGCGATATTGTCAATAGATGATAGAAAGGACATCTAGTTGTCAAATCATCCGATCTAAACACTGTATACTCTCTTCGGGATTCTCTATTGTGTCATTTATTCAGCCATCTCATCCTGTAAAATGTGTTCTATATTTGTATGTATGTGTTCTATATTTCTATAAAATATATTGTATATATAGTTATAGTGTATTATGTGCTGACTGGTATACTGATAAATAATTCACTAGCCAAACATTGTCATAAATAAAGGAATCAATATTAATCTGATATAATCATAATCGAGTAATCAACAGCTTCAAAAGGATGCTGGGTCTAATTCTTTATGTATATAACACGTAGATCTAAACTCTTGCTATTTGAACCCGGGTATAGCGTGATTAGTCCAGTTCAAATAAAAAAAATTATGACAGCACCGAACTATAATTATAATAAGGTACATGTTGAGTGCACGCATTATGTCAATAAAGAAATATAAATCTCTCATATCAGCCTAATTACTTATCTCAGCAAGCAAAGGGTCTTGATATAAATACGAGGGTTTTACGACAGTAACCAATAGTTGCATTTCTCTTCATACCATTTCCATGTCTAACTTATTAAAACTCTTGTCTCAAGGTAAGAAACATTCTGATGCTACAACGAGAGCTTCTGAAAGTTCGTATTGTGTCAGCCTATGTTTCCCAAGGCATGTAGAGTTCTATGCTAGCAATATTGCAGTCCGAAACATCTGCCTCTATTCCAGCCAAAGATTTATCAGAGGCTGGTACGGAGGTAGATGTTTTGACCTATCAATAGTTGTGATTTCATGATAAAGTTACTGAGCCCAAGTCTCTAATTTTCATAACGTATAGCGTCTTGCTTGCTAGATTCTAAACCCATTTCTGAAACACTGGATTATAATGAGAAGGTATATATATGATACTCTCAAACCCAACACAATCTGTGTCAAATAAGTAAATGTCTGGAAATAGCAAATGTTTAGCCTAATTGTACACCTTGGTTAGTTGTTATTAAATTCATTGAATTATAGGGTTATGGCTTCAAGTAACCCGAGTTGCATGTACTTAGTGTCATAATTCCGTGGAAATAATATGGGGATTTTCGCGTTTCATATGAAATAAATCCATTAAATTCAAATTATTCTTATACAGAAAACATAGACACATCATTAATGTGCAACACCATTATTTAAAATTTCTCTCATGAAATATAAATCTCATTTTCCCCCTTTTTAAACTCTATATGTATATTATACAGAACAAAAATAGAAGATTGAATGTAGGTTTTAATATACTTTCCGCACCATATTTGGTTAATGAAATGAAAAAGATGTAGGAGTCTAACCTTTGTTCGTCTCTTTTAAGTGGCTACAGTTTAAGTGAGGCAGGTTGTTTTTCTTAACATCTGCGATAAGTCATGTTCCTTCTGCCCTCCAATAGCAAAACATAGTAAGTCAGCTTTTGTTTATTTCGATTGGCTCTTGGAAACACTAGGCTTTATCATTATAAATGCCGTAACTGACTGACTTGATAGGTTTTACCATCGGTATTCAAGCCAGGATCCATTTGTCCGTGAAATTCATTTTTAGTATATGCCCAATAAGTCAATTTACTGCATGTCAAGAATGGGGAGGCAGGGACTTGGTTCAGTCAGTTCTTATGGTAGTGGCGCCACTGTTTGAATTCCACCTAGCTAGTCAAGCGATAGTCTAACATATTCTACAATTCATATTATTTTTCAACCTCGACAAGATGTAGAATAATGACATATTTTAATAGCGAGTAATATAATGAAACGCTATGAAATAGTTATTAGAATAATATATGATTCTGTTTTTAATTATCTTTTTTCATTAGATTTCAATCGGAGCAATGTACCGTACAAGATGAGTTAATTTCGTCTCTGGTTCAGTCAGTTGACAAATCCAATAATATAAACTGATTTCAATATCGTGAAATAGATTGAGACAAACATATCAGACAATTTATTCAGAAAATTATTCGTTAAGACAGATGGTGGGAAGTGGGAGCTCACGTATGCTCGTATGCTGTGAGTTTTCATTTAATTTTCTGTTAGTACGCTTTCAGATTCTATCAAGGGAGATAAGCGATTAAGCATATTCTATCTACAAGTCTCAAACGAACAGTTTACATCCAAAATAACTTGGCAACCCGTACAAGTTTTGTCAGTTTATATTTAATATTTTTATTCGTAGATGTTATATTTATCGATTTTTCGAACATAGAATTCGAATTTAAAGACATCGCCAAATTCACCGAATTACTTTAAATAATTTTTCTCATATCCAAAACGGGTGAGGATTTACAACCAATGAGATTCAATAGCCGCTGTATATTCGGTCAATTACAAAGATTTTAAGCAATCAGTTGCGCAGGCTGTCATTGATGGTCAACGAAAGAATACTTACATTAAAAACTCTCATGGAACTGCAAACCTTACATAATATTAGTGTGATATTGGCGATGGGGATATTGATGGTATGAACAAAACCACAAAAATATCAATCCTATATTCGGAGGTGCGGAAAATCTTCATAAAACGCGGCCATTTTTCTTACCCTACTAAAGCTGACATAAAAAGCTATCAGAGACTGGAATAGAGGCAGCTGCTTTGGACAACTACCCTACCGAATCAAACAATGCGGCACTTACACCAAATGAAATGGCTATTTAATACACCTTGAAAACGGAAAAGTCCACGCAGTGTTTATGGGATATACTTTTCCAGGACAGCGGCGTAGTCTACTCTTTTTTGATTTTCAATGTCCAAATGTCGTGGAATCTTAAAAAAAGCTTGTAAGAGAACAGTTAGATTTTCCAAGATTTTGTGGAAAGAGCTGAAACATTCGTGTAAAAATAAAGACTGTATAATGTGATGTTTCAGAGAGTCATTATGCTTTCGAATTTCAATTTGTCAAATTTAATATGAAACAAAAGCAATAAACAGGAACTGGCAGCTTGGACAGTCGTTTTAAATGTGCTAATGAAGAAATTAAAAATGTAAATGTACTTTACTGAAAAATTATTTAGTTTCTGGAAGGCGAAGTGATATAAAACATTGATTGTGTGAAAAATAAAAAAAAAATGTGGACCACAATTATCACTCTCGTGGGTGTTGCCTGCGAAACTGCTGTAACTGCATTGTCAACTCGCAAGACATACCTTTGAGCTGGCATTACGAATTATTATCTCTGTTTTGTAGATACAGATAAACTGAGTAATTATGAAAAGGGATCAGAAAAATAGGTGCCCCTTCCCAATACAACATTAGGTTTAACAGTTAACAGTTTAATATAGGTATCAACTATTCTTAAAAGATCTGGTGTGGCCATTAAAAAAACACTCTTTATTCTGAGGGAATCTAAATGAATACAATTTAGTTACAGTTATTGTTCTTAACCAAAACATAGCTCTAATTCCTGAAAATATTTCGTATATGCATTGTATCGTTGTGCTGCTACCAAATAAACCATGCCAAATAAACACTCTCGGTAGATGTGGACTCCTCTCAAGAGTTTGTGTTTATAGTTGATAAACCAATCCGTAAAGTGGCATTGATATTCACTGTAACATCATGGCAGGTAATAGATCTGGAAAGGGTGTATGTAGATCATTTGGTTCCAATCTCAATCAAGGACATTTGAGGTTCATATCAATCAATAATAACAAGTATTGATCCTAAATCAAGGACATTTGAGGTTAGAGTTAATCCATAATAACAAATTAAGTAAAGGTGTATTTGGATGATTACAATAGTAATCCGGATACATTCTCAGTTTGTATTCATTAACCAGCCCAATCATCTGGTCAACAGTTAGGTCCAGTCTCTAATAAGTATATTGTTATACGCTTGTTTTTCTAATTATTGTAAAACGCGTGTGATTCGTTTATAGTTGGGTTTCCATTACATTCAAGTCCTTTGCGAATAGTTTTCATTTGTTAACAAATAATAATTTCGGACTCGGTCCCTAGAGGACCGTGAAAACGGAAGAAAACGATTTGAAAGGAAATAGTGTTAACGTTATATAGGCTTTGATTTTACAATCACAGAATCGGAATCAATTTATAGAATTAAATAAACGTTCTTAGGATAACACTGATCCAGTTCGATAACATTCTCAAACCAACAGTGCTAGATCATTTAGCTTATCCTGACCCAACTACCAACTACTACGACTACCAACAACCATCCAGTTTTTGATATCTGTTGCAAGTGGACGTTAATCTGTTATCTACCAACCAGCTGGTTCGCTAACCCTGGCTCCTGAGGTTAGGTTACATCACAGATCAAGCTCAAACGGACTGCGTTCCGGAAATAGAAATAGAAATAGCACAGCTGTTGCATCGTTATGCGAGGTAATACCACGTTTACAGTTTAATATAAAATAAAATATTTGAGACCATTGTTCAGATCTCTGATGTAAAATTGATAATAGCATCAATCATAAACTCTTTACTACGTTATTATTATTTTTTTTGAGAATTCGAGGGATTATTTCTTAAATACAGCGGTAATTATTTCTTGCATGTCTACATTTCACTTAAATTATTGATGCCTGATGATAGCCTCAAGCAATATGTAGACCTGATACAAGTCGTACAGTTCGATGCAACAAGTTTATGTATCTGCGTAGTAGAAATTATATGGTACATTATGACAGGATCTAAGATGAATATATAGATAAAAAATCAGCAAGATGTACTTGTGCTCTGACTGTAACTTGAATTAAAATCCATCACAATATAATTTTGTCCACTGTTGAATTTTTAAGAAGTCATGAGAACGCAACGAAATTCGTATGCTTTGGGTAGACATACTGCTGTCGCATTAGATTAATGCAAATTACTACAAAATCAAATCGAATCTATTAACATTACTATGGAGGCAGCTGATCTAACAATTTTGTTCACAAATGGAGTTTAATAAGATAGTTTCGAACCTTTTACACAAGAACAATACCCGCCACTGGGCCACAAACCATTAAACTCGCATTGCATTGGGTCACGATTTTTCTGGCATTATCATATTTTACCTTTTCTTGATGCGAAGCATTATGAATTTGAGTAAAAACTATAAGCTGAGCATGAGAAACATCTTGTGTTCACGAGGCCAGGTCATAAAGAGGCGACGTACCTGAAGAAGCCATAACATGATACATTTCCACCTGATTTAATGACTTAAACAGGAAGATCATAAGCCACAGCCTACATACTAAATCACCAATGGTTCTTACATACCAATACCAAAAATCACAGGGGACATATTTTATTATTATTACTTAACGATCATTAGGCAGCATACAGTGGCATGTTAACCACCCTTAACAGTGTTGACCGGACAGTGACATAGCCCTGGGGACTAATTTCAACCACGTCATCATGTCATTTAATCATTATAAATTTCAGTAGTATATTTGATAATATGGTCGTATATACATAGATACATATTGATATATTTCTTTTGGTAATGTTATGTTATGTTATGAGGTCATAATGATACTATATGTAATAAGGTGTATATGGGCGAATCTAGAAAATGTCCGAGGGGGAGGTCAAAGCCCATGGAGGCCAGATGCTAGAAGTTGCCAGAAATCCCCAGAAGTCAACGGATTTCAGATGGCCTGAAGTTAATTTTAAGCATTTGGATGGTGAAATTTTCACTTCAAAATAAGACCTTTCATACGCCCGACGGGAGGTCTATGACCCAATGTCCCACCCCCTAATTACGATACTGAACGTATGATGTGAAAAAAAACTTACATAATAGCATAAAAAGGAGGTCATGATATTAGTGTTAAAAAGCAATTGCATTGTAAATTTCAGAAATCATTTTGATTGATTAAAAAGATTTACCAAAAATATGACATACAAAACTCCAAAATAGTCGTCATGTTGATCTATCAGTCACATGATGGTATCAGGTTGACTCACTTATGAAATGCAAAATCATTATCACCATCGTCATCATCATCATCATCATCATCATGTATTTTCAAAGCAACTCCAGTAGACGTGTTGTCGCAGTAAGCAGCAGTCATAGGCTCATTATCATCATCAGCATCCTCTCCTGCATTATCAGCATTCTCTCCTGCATCATCAGCATCCTCTCCTGCATTATCAGTATCCTCTCTTGCATTATCAGTATCCTCTCCTGCATCATCATCATCCTCTCTTGCATTATCAGTATCCTCTCCAGCATCATCAGCATCCTCTCCTGCATTATCACCATCCTCCCCTGCATCATCATCATCCTCTCCTGCATTATCACCATCCTCCCCTGCATCATCACCATCCTCCCTTGCATCATCATCATCCTCTCCTGCATTATCAGTATCCTCTCCTGCATCATCATCATCCTCTCCTGCATTATCAGTATCCTCTCCTGCATTATCATCATCCTCTCCTGCATCATCACCATCCTCCCTTGCATCATCATCATCCTCTCTTGCATTATCAGTATCCTCTCCTGCATCATCATCATCCTCTGTTGCATTATCAGTATCCTCTCCTGCATCATCATCATCCTCTCCTGCATTATCAGTATCCTCTCCTGCATCATCATCATCCTCTCCTGCATTATCAGTATCCTCTCCTGCATCATCACCATCCTCCTTTGCATTATCGGCATTCTCTCCTGCATCATCATCATCCTCTCCTGCATCATCAGCATCCTCTCCTGCATTATCACCATCCTCCCCTGCATCATCATCATCCTCTCCAGCATCATCAGCATCCTCTCTTGCATTATCAGTATCCTCTCCTGCATCATCACCATCCTCCCTTGCATGAAAACATCCTCTCCTGCATTATCATCATCCTCTCCTGCATCATCAGCATCCTCTCTTGCATTATCAGCATCCTCTTCTGCATCATCATCATCCTCTCCTGCATTATCAGTATCCTCTCCTGCATCATCATCATCCTCTCTGGCACCATCCTCTCGTTCATCATCACCATCCTCCTCTGCATTTACACCATCCTCTCGTTCATCATCACCACCTTCATCATCATCACCATCTTTTTCTGCATCGTCAGAGAAAGCGCAATGAGAACATTTGCATCATATTCAGCCACAGCATTAGAATCATTATCATCACCATCATCATCGGGCAGCAGATGTAGTCTTATATTATCTTTTCTAGAATATTCATTTGTTAATTTTCATTTTACTTCATTACGTTAATGATGGTTTAAATGATTTATTAACAATGAATCTTCACACGGTTAACTCGCTCGAGGGTTAAACTGTCATGAAATAACAAATCCCCGTGGATCAATTATGTATGATTTGAGTAAAAAGATAAAGGCTTAGCCTAAGGTGCTAGGATATGACAATCTCAGATGTGTTGCGTTGTGTTTTGGAAGCGAGCGGATGTTTCAGGCGGCATGATCAGGAAAGAATATTGTACTTACGTGTACACTGTGGATGGAGAATACTTCAGTTTGAATTGAAGTGGGTTAGGGCGGAGTATGGAGAAGAAGCAGAATGGATGAAGAAAAGAGGTTGGATTAATAAACCGTTATTTACACTGTGTTTTTATATCTTCTCAAAAGCAGACTTTTTAGATTACGGAATTGTTGCTTGTGCGGATTTTTATCCAATCACCACCTGTAATATGGAAATGAATTGCACGTGTCAAGACAACGCTTTCTGTCCAGTGCCCTGTATCCCGTCAATATAGAATGCATAACACTCATTCAACATGGATTCGACATCCAAAAATAGTTGTGAGATACAATACAACTTAATGAACATTGAACATTAATTTAATATCTCTTGGGTATCAAAGCTGCTCAAAATAAACATTTAACCTAGACTTTTAAGATTTTTAATGCTGAAGTTGAGTTGGGATTTGTAATGGATAAATATAGATACATATCATGTTTCCTTTTCCTTTGACCTTGGTATGACATGTAAACTATTCCGAATCAATTAATGAGATGAGAGAAATAGCTGAGAAATATAATATAATTTAATGGATATTCTCAGGATATGATAACTGCTATTAATTCAATATCTCTAGGGTAACAAAGATCTTAATGACGATTATTCTGACCAGCATATATAGTTCCTTCCTAAAATAACATAAACAGAAAATACTAAACAATCCTCGCTTCCTACCTTGGTTTCTCACCAGCTGTCCGCTAACACACCTCTATTTGAAGCTACACGGCATATCGAATATTAACATAAGAGTTAAGAGGAAGAAGTGCGTAGTGGTAATAAAAAAAATCCGCTTTAAGGACCATACAATTTGCTTATCGGAGTTTGAAGTTTATTTGTCAAGTAACCATTATTGACCTTAGGCGGCAATGGTTAACGGCTTACACTTCGAAGTCTTTTTTAAATGAGGACGCCCTGGTCTTGTTAATCATCTGTCGAGAGATTTTGCTAAACATGCACAAAATATGTAGCCGTCGGCTGTTCTAGGTCGGCTGACCTATTGCAGGAATCAACCCTCTACTTCTGCGAACTAGCACCTGATCAATGGTTGTCTTTAAAGGTCACGATACTCCCATCTTAGATTTCTATAGCCCTATTAGCAGTTGGTTTAAAAGTCTGGTAAAATTTAAGAGATCGACAATTGTTTCCCATTAGATTAGAAATAAACAAAGGGACAGTGCCAACAACAATGACTGAAGAATAACTTTTTATTGATTGCTACATCCAACAACTAAAGTAAATATTCTTCGGTTTTTGTGGATAAGAAGGATAGTTAGAAAAGATTGTTTGAATTCATTTTAAGCCGAAAGCGATTTAAATAATATGCATATAATAGAGCAGTATGACGACATCCCTCAACAGCCCAACTCCCAAATAATAGTCAGTTTTGATAAATATGTATTGTTACACCTGCAGCTACTATTCATTCAAGTAGTAATTCACTATTTTATCCCCAGTACATTATCCTAATCGGGCCCAGAAGATAATGTAAAACTCCACTACATTTCATTCCACGTCTCCATCAGAACATGACAGTCTCATATTGTGGTCAATTTCTCCCTTATTAATGGCGCTGTTCGGAGACACTGACATAGGCAAAGTTTTAGTGGATTAAGGGCGATATCATGAGGTCCCCAGAGCTTCAGGTACACAGTCCCTCAATAATTGGAAATCCAAAGTGTTAACATCAACCGACACTCACTTCATTGGCAAAATATCCTTTATTGCCCAGCACAAAGAGTTACCAGTCTTACTAAGCCCAACACAATGCAGAAGCATTAAAAACTCATTAAAAACCTCATCGCGTTAAGCTGGTATTCGAATTTAAAAGGTGAAAGAGTGAAGTGTTATGTTACGATAAGAACATCAAGGATTTTAGGCGAAGCATCAACAGAATCATATCAATTATACAGATGACCTCACCTTGAGCTATATATAACTAATAGCTTTTCATCGTGAAGCTCAGTTATTAATTAAATAATGACAACAATTTGTTCAATATTGTCATTAACTGTACAGTGTCCAGAATAAGGCTTTGTTATCGTTATGATTTATGGAGCCAATCACGCCAAATGAAAAGAACAAACAGAAGAAATTGATTGCTATTCTAGAACTTTTGGTCGTGTTTAGCAGTTAAGCAGCTTACGATGTATTTATAAGACTGAGTATTTATTATATTAATTCTGTATCATCATGAACTGAGAGTTTGTCATCCTGATAATATTTAAATATTTCTAACAGGTTTACATGATTCTCCTTTTTAACCTGAAAAGATGCTCCATTAATACACTCTGAGACTCATTTATGACCTAGACTAGAGAGTGGGAGATAATTTGGTTGTTTACTTTCAAAAATAGCCATTGTATCAAGGTTACTTTGATTCAGCCTGTAACAACATCATCCAATTAAGCTGTTGCTTCAACCATTTGTTAGCTGTTGCTTCAACCATTTGTTAACTGTTGCTTCAACCATTTGTTAACTGTTGCTTCAACCGTTTGTTAACTGTTGCTTCAACCATTTGTTAACTGTTGCTTCAACCATTTGTTAACTGTTGCTTCAACCGTTTGTTAACTGTTGCTTCAACCGTCTGTTAACTGTTGCATCAGCCATTTGTTAACTTTTGCTTAAACTATCAATTCCTGTTGCATTTCTCAGCCAATTTACGTCGCATCACTAAATGTCTGACTTAATCACCCAACTTGCTTATGTTACATTTCTTAACCAATTTTGTTAATGTTGAACCAACCAACCTGATGTTATTCTACTGAAAAACCCAATGTGATGATCTCTAACGTATAACTTATCTGCCCACTTATCCGTTACTTATTGAATCAGTGCCGCCTTATAGTACTTATGTTTATGTTGATGTAATCTTCATATAAACTGCTGTACCATTTACACTCTCACAAAATACACCACATTCAGTCAATTTGATAAAAAGTTTAACTCAAATCATCATAATAAAATGATAGGCAACTGACTGTTCAATGATGTGCTTATCACACCAGCAATACGTTGAAATTCTAATGTTCATGCTTAAAAGACTCTGATAAACAATTGCAGGGGCGCTGGAAGGATGAGCATGACCTAGCTTAGTGCATTTGTTACTTTTTGTTTGAGCATTACTTGGTATTTTAGGTTTGCATTGTTATTAATCTAACATTAAGAATAAAACGTACATTGCATGCTAGAGGGTGGTCCAGAATTTCTGCTTTTGAATTTCATCAACATGATTGCGTAGGACATTTGACGTGAATTCGCCACAGAAATTGAGACATGATTGCTGCCATGTGGGTTATGTCTTACCATTACGATGAATTAATTTACAATTTTCACGAACAACACGTTTATTTCTCAATTCTGCAAGTATTTCGCAACTCTTCATCTATATTAAGTTAATTAGGTGCAGAAAAGTAAGACGTAAAACTCTGAAATATCACTTAATACCGCTGAACATCTTCTGCTAGGCAAGATCATACAGTTCTATGGCTAGATAATGAGTTTTAGCACCTTGAATATGTGTGATGATTTTGTGGAATATCAATGCATTGTAGAGTCTTTTTACTGAATCACTCAAGGAGAGCATGATGTTTATAAAGGCCAGTACTCGCAATTCATCATACCAGTCTCTTTCGACGATTATAACATTTGCAAATATGTTAAAACTTCGTTGTGTCAATCAAGTACTACAGGCCCGTAGCTACAGGAGGACCCCGACCAGTTCCATTACTGTAACTAGACACCATGCACCATTTATTATACGTCTGGCTATGGGCATGTTGGTGAATTTTGACCAGTCTGTGGACAATTTCATTTTCAATTGGTCGGCTGTATTTCAATTGCAACAAACCGTTCAGAAAATTAATGTTCACCTTTCCAACATCAGAATCGGTGGGGATACTGACAAAAAATGTGTTTGTACTTGATTCACCCAATAACATAATTTAAAATAAGTTTATTTCCTACTGAATCCCTTTAAGTTCAGAAGTAGAACAGTAACCTAAATTCAATATTAAAAACTTCCATCATAGATATTAGCTTGGATTTGAGTATAAATCTCACCAATGTTTTTCTCATTGAGAAGACACTTAATGTGTTTTAGAAATTACCATCTAATCTTTTAACGGGTTTTCTATTGAAAATAAAGACTAAAAACTTTCGTCTGGAAAAACTCAAGGAAAGGAATTTGAAATCCTATCAGAGTGTAGACATTAAAGATCAAGAGAGGCGGTATTGATGTAATGAAGATAGCCGCTGTTATTGTCTTCTTAAGTTTTCAGTAAATCTTTCATTATAGCATCATTCAACATCAGTAGCGTATTTAAGTGGGTGGGGCGCATTGGACCACGGTCGCCCCCTCGGGTCTGCGACAGGTATTATTTTGAAGTAAAAACTTAGCCCTCTAAATACTCAAAATTCATCTCGGGCCATCTAAAATACGTTAGGGCCTCGCCTTCAATAAAGACTCTCTCCTTAAGCATTTTCTAGATATACCCTGAATTAACTGATATCAATTATAGTTTGAACATATTTATTGCAATTCGTAAAAGTTACAAGAAGTTACAAAGGGAACATCTCTTTTATGTCACGGAGCACGACGCCTCTCTCATCTGGAAGTTATAAAGTCTATTATAAAAGTAGATACAGTAACGTGTATATCCAATACACAATACACAATTATATTATGATAATATACAGAGTTGTATCACGTGACAGACCCGGAGGAGTATACTGTATCAGGTTCCAATTTTTTAATTTTTAATCAGGTTTTTAAATTCAACAAGATAGACCACCAAGGTTTCATTTACTGATCAAGTTGTGGCTTTCATCTACTATTTATAAGCTTGCACTCGAGGTGTTGGAAACCCAAATCATTTTGACATTAATTCTCCTGTGGCTATGATGAAATAAATAATTTCTTTGATTTTTACTAGTCCACCATGGAATTCTAATGAGTTGTCAACATGTAAAATTTAAGAAGGAAATTAAACACTATAATTACGTTTATTAGAACATGACAGGAATTATTAGAAATCAATCATACAACGACAACCAATCATTCATTAATTAACAGAGGAAATTTTAGAATGTGATTTCCACGGATACCTATTTCCTATTGAGTATCCCAATCTAGAAAGATCGGGGACAGTCTTTAGATTCGTTTGCGTCTTCCTCTATGGGTTTTCGTCACCGTCTTCAATCACCAAAATTGTTGCAAAGAGGTATTTCATTAATTCTGATGCCATGGCCATTTTTCGTCTGTTGGACCCCTATAGAATCATGGTTAGGAGTATGTCGTCTAGTTTACTGAAAACACGACAGAAATTTAACGTCATTAGATCTTCAAGAAGGACAACAGGCTACCTACGTGTTCACTGAGCTTAGAATGAGGAATACGAAGATGCAGCACACAACAATTACCCTAATATACGCCCGATGTTTATATTTTCATTATCACAAAATCATTTAAATAATTCCTATACTACTTTGAGGCTGATATCTATACTGACTTAAAAATATTGCGAGCAACTCGATTTCCTGACGAAATACCGTTGTTTCTTAAAATCATGCCGACCAATATTTTTAAAAGACTTGTAAAAGGGATTAGGTCTTCTAGTTCATAAACGTTACAATTTGCAAAACATAGTGTGGATGACATTTAAACGAAAATTGTACCTCCAACTATACACTAAATGAAACGGACAGTGTCCAGCTGACCTCCATAGGCTACATTGCTTTCTGTGTGTTATAGTCATCCATCACGTAGATGTACTTTAGTTGTACTTACTTACCCTCTAAAATATTCTTATTCTCAAATTAGCATTTCCAGCAATTATTTACTATTATTTACCAGTAATTATCACTAATTATCATTACATTAGACGATTGTATGACCTGGATTTCCCCTTGAAAAAGATAGAAAGTTGAATTAAAATCGGTCTGTAACACACGGGACGTCGGTTTATTGTCCCATCAGAACGACTAGACGCTCTCCATGTCAGCCCCTCTTACCTGCATCACTGACAGACGTGCAAAGTGGTCAAAGGAATCACTTCCAGCTAGTAAGTTCATATAAACAGTTTACTAATATACTATGGGAATGCATTACTTTAATAGGAAGAAGAATTAAGATGACAATGTTGATGAACAACTTGAAATGTGACAGTGGCTGGTAATTGATGTGATAGTGATATTGGTTCAGGATGCTGGTTTAATGGATTCAATAATGATGTAACATTACAATATTTGCTCAGTTGTTCATGTTGTCAATTACTTTAATAAAGTTGGCAGAATGGGTGGACGCCGGACTCGATACCTGGGGTGATAGGTTTAAAGGAACTGTATAGAAGTTTTCTTAACTGTATCGGGGATAGCATCAATTTGTTCCATTCCAATTTTCAATTTTGTCTCTTCCTGCAATTCCATTAAAAATAAGTGTTTGAAGACGTCACTAATCGCGAAATAATATGCCGAATCGCGATTATAAGTGACGTCATAACACGCTTAGTCTTGAAAATTTGAATGGTGCAAATTAATATTGTCAGTGTTCCCGACACACTTAAACATTTCAGAAAACGTCTTTACAATCCCTTAAAGCGGGATCATTTCGTAATTTGCGATTCAATTTAACTTATTAAGTCTAAATTAAAATTTATCACGCCGACCTGCGATCAAAATGTATGGTAAATTCTTCAGGCGAATTTGTGCGAAACCGTTAGTCTAGAAACTGCTGGATCCATTGAAGCCATATAATATGACTATTTTATCATTATTATTATCTACGATCACATCACGATTCTTCAACAGCAACATTTTGAATTTTTACCAAATTTTTATGAAATACGCATCAATTTTTTATTTATTTAAATAGCAATGTTTTATTCGTTTTACTTCAAGGGAATTTAATTTGACCACTTCAGAGTACTGTACACGAGGTTACAATGAGTACAACTCAAAATAATAGAATGCCTCTCTCCGTGCCTGCCTCACCTGCCTCCCCTGTCGCCTATCTACCCATCACTGACTAAATATCCCGTAGGCGTTCCTCACCCTCCCTTCCTCTTCTCCATATTACTAACACTTCCTCGCTACGTACCGCATCCATACTTAATCTTCTCCCATCTCATTTCGTTCCCTCTCCCTATGTCTGCTTAGAAACTATTTCTCATCTACGGTCAACCCTTCTTTGACAATCTGTCTCATGACCCCAGTTCCATCTTTCTCTGTATCCCACTGCGTATCCTTCTTTCTCTTCATCTTTCTTACCCCGGACTGTCTCTTCATCCATTCTTTCTACTTCCTTTATCTCTCCTTGATGGTTCTCCCACTCGAATTCCCTTATTTCTTGCTGTTACTCGTCTTCTTATCTCCTTCTTCTCTCCTTTCTATTTGTTTGATTTTGTTCTTTTACATCCCTTCTTTAATCTTTTCTTCAAGGTTCATCACAATTTGCGTGTCAAAATAACCCTTTTGTTATCACTATTACATTATAATTGTTTTATTATTGGTAGAGTTTCTACATAATTGTTTTTAAGTAATATAATTAATTAGTATAAATTAAACAAAAGACGAAGACAGACACATACCTATCCAAATCAATACATTGAAGATCAAAAACGAACACAATCAATAAGGTAGACATGAAATTTGTCCTATGTTGGTCCTGGACCATTCCATACATAACGCTATATATAATTCATCCGTTAACATAATTACTCTTGAATTTTGCTGTCGTGGTACCAGACAAATAATCCTTTATCAACCGGGGCTTCATTTCCTCAACATGCTATGATTTATGATTTAATTTATTTAATGATATTGAAGACTAGATTGAAATGTTAACGACGACAAGGCAAATAAATGTTGTTCAATATATTACGTCTGAATAAAAGATTCGGTTTCTTTGAAGGTGGATGCAGATTGACATACAAAGCAAATCATCTCATTGTATCCGTTATAGCAAAATCCCTAAATTGACCTATTGTCGTAGATTCCTTTTCCCAAAAAACCAGAAAATAGAACGGAGATGTGAATTTGTTCAGTAATATCACTAAATGTTTTTTTAACCTGTGTTTTGAACTTTCACAGTTTTTATTTTGTTTATTTATTTATTTATTTTTTTCAAATTCTGCATAGCGGCCTCGCAAAATACACTGTGTACTCAAATCAAGTAATAGAAAGAGATAAGAATAACACAAACTATAAACGCTGATCGTTTAGAGAACACCCGGTCACTCAGGATACGTTGTCCAGGAATTGTTAAAGGGTTTTCGCTCATAGAAATAAGATCCTAGTTACGGTTCCGTTTTTGCAGTTATTTATCTCAGTACCTCTAAAAAGTCGTATATTCGGATATCAACCTCAAGGCAAGCTCAACTTATTTTCTTTTCCAATTAGAAAGAGATATTTCTTAGTTTTTCGTGCTGGAAAACTACATTTATCCTATTTGTGTTCTTCATTGTACTGTTTTATGTTTATGGAACCATATGTGTCGGTTTTTCGTGCTGGGAAATAAGATAGTTCCGATTATTTTAGAGAGAGTGTTACAGTTACCACTATCTATCATAATAAACCATTAACTTTATACTGTTTTATTTATTACCTTGTGAACTTAAGGTTATTGACATTCTCAGCATTAAATGATCTCATTTCAGATGTACTTGTAGACAAGTTGATAATTCACATTATACTTTTCACATACCTGATAGCGACAATAGGGCGATATAAGATCCAACAATAGGATTCTTATAAAATAGATAAGCGTGCCTTAATTACTTAAAGTTCGTGCCATCTTCCATTTAGTATAGACTCGACAATTATAACATGACCATCATAAAGAACCAATGTATCAAAACTTGCTTAAAGTAGTTTTAGTTACATTTGTGTTTCATGCTTTTAATATCAATTACACTAAACCCGGAATTTCAGTTGGCGGTAAATTCACCACGGATTACTTTGCACTTTGACATAGTTTGGTGAACATTTTATTAAATGAAGAGTCCTGCAGAGCATTCTTAAGGTTTGAATGTCCTAAAGAAAAACTCTGTTTTCTATTACAGAGGCGGCTAAGATCAGATTTTCATAAAAATTGTGCATTTAGTGATAAAAGCACCAAAATTGGTCATACTGTAGGGGAACAAGCCGGGAATAATTTCAGATAAGGAGGCACTTTTATCTGTGTGCGCATGCTTAGCCGCCTCACTATATTCTAAGTATTTAATATATTGAATAAAATGTGAAAAATATATTTGTTATAATTTTTTCTGCTAGATGATAGGGACTTTCGATGAGGGTCGAGGGTCTTTTGTCATGGTGTAATATTGCAGTTGAGCTTTTGTCCTCCGGGACATTTGTTTGTTCACCGAATATTTCAACCCATTAGACAGCAGAGTATGATATTCCCTAAAAATAATGTCAGTTCGGTTAACATAGTTACGAAGACAGTATATAACGATATCGGAAAGTTCAATTTCAGATCTATACACCATAGCAGACCTGACACTATCAAGGGGACATTAAATCTATTGACAGCTAGTTTTATTGGGCGATAAATCACTTCGCGAGTTGCTTTCCTTTCCCTAGTTTATTGAATTTCTGTCTTACACAACATTTTTTATGTCACTTGTCTGCCCTATACTTTTTAATTAATAAATTTATCAATAAATTCTCGTATCTTGTCTTTAAAGAGGCACGCTTACGGACAACAGGGATCTGATAATGTACTGTTGTTCTTCATTAACCTCATATTTTGGCGCGAAAGTTCTCTCACACCATAGAGATTACCAGTTGCGAATTGTTGACATGTGGCCCTGCGTTCCGAACGCAACTAACAACTCAGTTCCATGAGACTTGCGTTCTAAACTTATCACCAATATTCTTATTATTTTGAACTGGTGACCGTGATGGTGCGAGGGTAACTTAAACTTGTTGCAGGTTGCCTATGTCCTCACTAGAGTAGTTATTGTTGGACTAGTAGCCTACCAACTATGAAACGATATTATTCGCATCACAACTTCTATTGATACCAGCTCTTTGCATGTCTACAAGAGTTTCTGATTCACAATCCATCATCGGGGCATGTGGCTTGAAATTGGAGCGGACATATTCGTCTTTCTACAGAGCTGGAAAATTGTAACCAAATCTTCCAACTTTTTTATCTTAAACCATGAGGTGATCCATTAAGCTTCAAAGACACAAAGTTGGTTAATGTAAGCGCGCCGTTCAAGAAGTACTAATCTGCAAAATTTTGACTGCATTCACAACATAATGCCGAATATTATTCCTTTAACTCTATGCAACAAATTTGACTTCAAGTTGCATAAAACTAAAGCTTGTCCCAAATATTTTGTTCTCTGCCAGACACAATTTTGATTGAAGTTTGAAACGTATCAATTTAAAATTAAACAAGCATTCTGTATCACTATCATTCGTCTGCGTTTGACAGTCAGTGACTATTGAATATGTCGTCCTGTTGAAAATGAGGAAAGAGAATCCAGAAGATCGATGAGATTGTCTAAGAACCAGCTGTAGGCATCCTTTTCAACTTAAGTTGTTTTCCTTGAAAAAAATCGCGTTGTTTCCTTCTTTCTGTCATATTGACTCATGTATTACAAACTGTGAAATCTTATGAAATAAGTTGTTATCATTGTAAAAGAAAATAGTATTACCTTCCTTTCTTTCGTGCATTATCAACTTTTAAACCTTCATACTGCTCAATACCTCAGGAAATAATAACAGATCAATAAGATTACCTATTGTATTTAAAGTTTACCAAAGGTCACATGTTATACGACTTTTTTTCTGATTTCGATTTTCTACTTTAATTCATATCTCGTAGGAAGTATTCATGTAATATAGTTGTTTTCTTATTTGGCAGTCTTAATTTTTCAAAATTAATGTCGTAATATGTCAATGTAAATAGTAAACCATCTTCACAGGCTGTAGTTACGGTTTGTTTAGTGTTGACTTATCAGAAGTCAGATTGACAAGGTAAAATGGATGTATCCGCTTGATACATTTTTCACAAAAATTGTGTGGATTTCGGTACATTGAAGATTAAACTTACGTGAATAGAAAATTAAAATGTACAATGCCAGGTATTTTAGAAACATAATATGGTAGAGCATTTCCAATGTTGGAGAAAGAATGGATAACTGATATGCCTCTGCTATCTATTCTGTCAGAAAACATTTGCATCTTTGGACTAAAAAGGGACATCATTAATGTCTACTTTGTTTAAATTTTAATTCAGTCTTTAGCCTTCATTGTTAAGGACTGAAGGATCTGTCAGTCCCCATTAGAGTCAATGATCCTTGTCAGATTATCTGTACCAATTCAATCAATTATAGATATACCGAAATAACGAGATTGATCATTCCAAGTCACGAATCTGTCACTCTTCAATATTCAGCTCTATCATTTCCTGGATATCACAAGAACTCTCTGTCAGTGATGCTCGTCGGAACAGCCGACATGGGAAAAGAATCTTGTAGTTAGGATGGGACAATAAACCGTGGTGCTACAGACTGATCCCTCGACAGTCAGAAATCGCAAAGAGTAGGCCAATTCCGCTGCCCTGTCAATAGAAAATTTGCACAACAAAAGCAAATACAAGACGAATGCATTCATATACATGATATAAGTGACAGTTATTACTGAGTTCATTATTAATTCAATAGCCTCTATAATCTGATTTCATACTTCACAATAATTCCTCTTTTTTTTTTCTTTTCACTTCTTAAAGATTGCGAGATGCAGGCAATAACTCGACGTAATTTGAAATGTATTGACTGTATGTACATGTAGAATACTTATTAAGTTTCATCAAAAATAAGAGTTTTTCTAACCTAAAAAAAGCATTTTACAGGAAATGAAAATACAAGAATGAGGCCAAACTTATAAAAAGAATGTCTTCCGGAAATTTCTTTAGTTATAAAACAGATCAATTCCAGTTAAAGGGATTTAGTATATTAATTTGCTAAATTCCAGCTTTCGGGGGGGGGGGGGGGGGGAGAGGGAGGGAGAGGGAGGGAGAGGGAGGGGAGTTATCGTAATTTTCGTCACTATCACAGGCTTTAACTTTATTATCAGCTTTTGCTCTTGTGACGTCATATTCGGTATAATTACAAGAATCACTAAATCTGATATTTTGGGAAATGATGTAAATGTAAGCCATAAATGGCCAAGTTACACAAAAAAACCTAGAATCTGCCCTTCAAACCATTTAAAGATGCAGGACGCCATCCTTTCAGCAATCGGAGGCCTACTTCAGTCTCTGAAACAGAAATG